CCCTACAGTGCACAGGACGCCCCCACCACAGAGAATGACTAGTGGGTGGAGACCAGGGATACTGCTCAACACCCTACAGTGCACAGGACGGCCCCCACCACAGACAATGACTAGAGGGTGGAGACTAGAGATGCTGGGCACCCCGTCTGGCGTAAGGCATGTTGTCAGCCGCCATTGAGTCAGCCCCAGCTTGTGGCGACCCCACTTGACCCCACGCACAACAGAACGAAAAGCTGCCCGCTCCGGCGCCATCCCCATGACTGTTTCGGATCAGACCATTGTGATGAGACCAGGGTTTCCACTGGCTGATTTTTGGAAGCAGATAAACAGGCCTTTCTTCCTAGCCCATCTTAGTCTGGAAGCTCTGCTGAGACCTGTCCAGCATCACAGCAACACGCAAGCCTCCACTGACAGACGGGAGCTGGCTGTGCGTGAGGTGCATTGGCTGGGAACGGAACTCGGGTCTCCACATGGAAGGCGAGATTCTACCACTGGACCACCAATGCTCTCTGGTTTAAGGCATAAAAAAAAACAAAAAAAAAAAAAACTAAGCCAGTTGCCATTGAGTGGACTCCGACTCATGGCGTCCCCATGTATGTCAGAGTAGAACTGTGCTCCATGGAGGTTTCAGTGGCTGATTTTTTTAGTAGTAGATAGCCACGCCTTTCTTCCGAGGCACCTCTCAGTGAACTTGATCCTCCAACTTTTTGGTTAGCTGCCAAGTGCATGAGCATTACTCAGGACTCCCACTTAAGGCATCATGTTGTTGATGCGTGCTGTCCTTTAGATTCCGACTCACAGTGACCCCATGGGACAGAATAGAATTGCCCCATAGAGTTTCCTAGGCTGTAATCTTTATAGGAACAGATCGTCAGGTCTTTTCTCCGGAGGGGAGTGGGTTCGAACTGCTATCCTCTCAGTTAGCACCTGAGCGCTTAACCAATGTGCCACCAGGGCTCCTTACAACACATGTGAGGAACGTGCTTCTTAGTTCAATCAAATATATGAGGCCAAATGGGCAGCTCCTGCCCAAAAGCAAGATGAGAAGGCAGGAAGGGACAGGAACGGGACGAATGGACACAGGGAACCCGGGGCGGAAAGGGGGCGTGCTGTCACATCGGGGGTATTGCAACCAATGTCACATAACAATATGTGTATAAATTTTTGAACGAAAAATTAACTTGAGCAGTAAACTTTCCCCTAAAGCACAATAAAATTTAAAAAAAGAGAGAGAAACTGTTGTCGGGCACCCTTGTTGTGGGATGACCTGGAGTAGGGGTTCCACGCACAACAACCCCATGTGACAGAGTAGATCTGCCCCGGAGGGTTTCCTAGGCTGTGGTCTTTAGGGGAGTAGATCACCAGGTCTTTTCTCCTGTGGAGCCGCTGGGAGGCCGGGGGTTCGAACCACTGTCCTTTCAGTTAGCAGCTGAGCGCTTCAACAATGTGCCACCAGGGCTCCTTAAAAAGAGACTTTTGTTGTTTTGTGCCCTTGAGTTGACGGATACCAACTCCTAGCAACTCCATGTGACAGAGTAGAAGTGCCCCCAGGGTTTCCTAGGCTGTCACCCTTAGTGAGCCGATTGCCAGGCGTTTTATAGGTGGGTTCTAATCCTGGCTCTGGCTTTTAAGGAGGGGGCCAACGTCGGCTGTTAACAGGGTGCACAGCCACAGCCATGTCTCAGGAGGTTGTGAGGAGACTTCAGGCAGATCAAGGATATGGGGGAGCCCCCCTCCCCCGCGTGTCCTCAGCAAACATCCCCATCCTTACTCTCAGCCGATCAGCCAGGGCTGGGTGATGAGCTTTCGCGGGAAGATCATCAAACTGCATGCAAACAGCGGTCCTGCCTGCGCGCGAGCATGTGCGTTCCAGATGCAGTTTTAAAAATCAAACGTGAGACTTTCCTTCCTGTACGCATTTCCCCAGTCTGGCTGCCGTGGGTTTAAGACGCAGCGGCCTTGGCAGATTCGTCCTGAAGCCCAGCCCCCGGGCGCTCGCGGAGCCCGCGGACCTGCTTTCTCCTCTTTCGGAATGAGGCGCTTCTTCCCTTCCTGGGCAGCGGCCGCCCTGCTGCTGCTGGGCGACCTGGTGGCTCTGGAGGAATCGGAACCCGGTAAGCTGTCCCCCCCAGGGGTGTGCGCACCCTGTGTGTCAAATGTTGTGTGTTTTTTTAAAAAAATTCACTTTATTTACTTTTGTTGTGGTTGAGAATATACACAGCAAAACATACACCAATTCAACAGTTTCTACATGTGCAATTCACTAACATGGATTACATTTTTCAAGCTGTGCAACTCTTCTCACCCTCCTTTTCCGAATTGTTCTTCCCCCATGAACATAAATTCACTGCCCCTAGGTTTCCTATAAAATCTTTTGAGTTGCTGCTGCCAATTTGATCCTATACAGAGAGATCTTAAAAGAGCACCGTGCTGACTGCAGACATTCTTTACAAGTGAAGCTATTGTTTGGTTTAAAGAAGATTTTAGGGGATATATATATACATATATATATATAGTACTTTAGAAGAAGGTTTACAGAACAAACTAGCTTCTCCTTAAACAGTTAGTACACATATTGTTTTATGGCATTTATTGCCAACCACAAGATGTGTCAACACTCTCTTTCCTCGACCTTGGGTTCCCTATTACCAGCATTTCAGGGGATATTTTTGGTTTAAGGTTGAAAGATTATCTCAGGGCAATACTTTTTGGGGTTCTTCCAGCTTCTATGGCTCCAGAAATCTGGATTCCATGGGAATTTGGCATTCTGTTCCACATTTTCCCCCTTTTGATCAAGATTCTTCTCTAAGATCTTTGATCATAACATTCAGTAATGGTAGCCAGGCTATGTTCTGTATTTTAATACCTCTCCTTTTTCCCCCCTCCCTCGATCTGTTTGTCAGCCACATTCTTTTTTTCATAAAAGTCACAACAATAGACATGTCAAAATTTCTGTGTATCTGCAGACAAATTCAGATCATCTAAAGCTATTTCCAGAGTCCCTGGGTGGTGCAGTTAACAAACTAGTCTGCTAACCAAAAGGTAGGAGGTTCGAGTCCACCCAGAGGTGCCTCAGAAGAAAGGCCTGGTGATCTACTTCTGAAAAATCAGCCACTGAAAACCCTATGGAGCCCAGTTCTACTCTCATGCTCATGGGGCTGCCATGAGTTGGAGTTGAATTGATGGCAACCGGCAAACATGTTATAAACAGTATCGCTTTTGTTTTAATGCAGGATTTGTTCAAACACAAGATTAGGCTTGAGTGGAATAAGGAAGGGACCCTTGTCTGCTAAGATTCTGGGCTTGGAGGACTATCGTCTTTGCCTTTCTACCTTCAAAGAGGGTGAAGGTTTTCGTTTAAATCAACATTTATGTTCTTGGGGTGAGTTCACAATGAAGGATACCTTGGACAAAGTCGAGGGGGTTGCAAAATGGGCTTTGGTGCCATCCATGAAATAATCAACACCACCACCTAGGCCCCAGACGGATGCCCGACTGAACCCCAAGCCTCCTGTGGCTTGGAGGGGGCTGCCACATCCGGGCCTTTTGAGAATGATCAGAGTTCTTATTGTTGTGTCTTCACGGTCTTATTCCTGGAGGCTTGTCAGTAAATCGTTGCCAGGCTCTGTGCTCAGATTACAAACCTTTTTTATTTTTATTTTTAAAATTTTTTTTATTGTACTTAAGAGGAAAGTTTACAGAGCAAACTTGTTTCTCGTAAACAATTAATATACATATTGTTTTGTGACGCTGGTTGCCAAAAACCCCACAACATGTCAGCACTCTCCTGTTCTCTACCTTGGGTTCCTCATTTCCATTTATCCAGCTTTCCTGTCCCCTCCTGCCTTCTCATCCTTGCCTCTGGGCTAGTGCGTCCATTCAGTCCCTTTTTGCTTTAGCGGCCTGTCTAGTCTTTGGCTGAAGGGTGAGCCCCAGGAGTGTCATGTTACAACTCTTGTTATTAGTTGCCATTGAGTCAGCTCTGGCTCACGGCGACCCCATACGCAACAGAACAAAACGTTGCCCCGTTCTGTGTCATCTTCACGATTGTTGGTCTGCTTGAGTGCATTGTTGTGGCCACTGTGTATTTTGGGTGCCTTCCAACCTAGGGGGCTTATCTTTCAGCTGTATATCAGACAATATTCTGTTGTGATCCATAAAGATTTCTTTGGCTAATTTTCAGATGTAGATCACCAGGCCTTTCTTCCTAGTCTCTCTTAGTCTAGACAGTGCCACTGGAACCTGCCCGCCATAGGTGACCCTGCTGGTATTTGAAATACTGGTGGCATAGCTTCTGGCATCCCAGCAACACACAACCCACCACCTACGGCACACGGACAGATGGGTGGAGATTAAGTACAAACGTGGGAAACGGATGGGAAACAGTGGGATGGCTCTTGAGTCAGGCAGCTAATCCTGCAGTTTACTCTCCAGCTGCAGCGCCCCCCACAGCTCCAAGCCAGGTGTGGCGTTCCACAGCCACTTAGTGCCTGACCTGTCCGCCTCGGCCAACCACGGCACAGTTCTCGCCTTCCCTGTCTTTGCCAGCCTACTGGCCACCTGGCTCGTCCCCCGTATCCCCTTTGGTGGTGGATTCACCGATACAAATTGAGTTTCCAGACCACCCAGCAAAGGCGTGGTGAAGTCTGTGTGCGCCTCTCCACTGGGCTCAAGTCGCACCTGGATCCTTAACCTCCATGTGACACCTGTGACAATGTGGACACGTCTTCCAAGTGGGTCTGCCGTCTGCCAGGGACAAAAGCAGGAAAATGACGACTCCGCCACAATTTGAACAACAAATTTCAGGCCATTTCTTTCTTCCTTGTTTTCACTGTTGTAAAAATAGAGAGCACACAACATTAGCTGATCCAGCGTTGGTCACTTGGACAATTCGATGAAATCAATGGCATCGGTTGCGTTGTGCAGCCATCACCAACATCCACTGCCAAATTTTCCGTCGTCATAAGCAGAAACTCAGTGCTGGCTAAACCCAGATCCCCCTCTTTCCTCTTGTCCCTGGTACTTGCTGCCGTCGACTCAATTGCCACTCATAGCGACTCTGTGTGACAGAATAGAACTGCTCCATAGAGTTTTCTAGGCTATAATCTTTATGGAAGCAGATCACCAGGCCTTTCTTCCAAGCCACCTCCAGGTGGGTTCGAAACTGCCAACTGTTCACTTAGTGTTCGTGTTGTTTTCGTTGTTAGGTGCCGTCAATTCTTTTTATTTTATTTTATTGTTGTACTTTAAGTAAAAGATTACAATGTAAGTTAGTGTCTCATACAAAAATTTATACACACATTGTTACATGACCCTAACTGCTCTCCCTATACTGTGACAGCACACTCACTCCTCCTTTCCACCCGTGATTTCCCGTGTCCATTTAACCAGCTTCTGACCCTCTCTGCCTTCCAATCTCACCTCCAGACAGGAGCAGCCCATTTAGTCTCATGTGTCTACTTGAACTAAGAAGCACACTCTTCACGAGTATCATTTTATGTCCTCAAGTCAATTCTGACTCATAGCAACCCCATGTGACAAAGTGGAACGGCCCTGTTGGGTTTACTAGGCTGTAATCTTTACAAAAGCAGATCACCAGGCCTTTCTTCCAAGGCGCTTCTAGGTGGGTTTGAACTGTCAACCTTTCGGTTACTGTTGTGGCTATTGTTTGGTGCTGTCTGGTCGATTCTGACTCATAGCCACTCCGTGTGACAGAGTAGAGCTGCTCCATAGGGTTTCCTAGGCTGTAATCTTTATGGGAGCAGATTGTCAGGTCTTTCTCTCTTGGAGCCACTGGGTGGGTTCAAATCACAAACCTTTGGGTTAGCAGCCGAGTGCTTAGCCACTGTGCCACCAGGGCTCCTTGTCCGTCCCTGGTAACCACCGTTCAACTCTGATCTCTGTACCTTTGTCAGGCTATTTCTCTCTTTCTTTCTTCTGTAATTGAAGTTTTATTGTATTTTTGGTGAATGTGTACCCAGTAAAACAGGTTCCCATTCAACAATTTCTACACATATTGTTTGGTGACATGGAACAATCTTCTCATTATTTCTGTTGTAGATGTTCCATTTTCAGTAACCTAGTCTCACACTCCTCAACCTTCTCGTCTGTGCTGTAGAGGAACTGTTGACCATTTGGTCTCATATAGATGATAGTTTTAAATGAGTGTAATATTCAAGGAGCTCTGGTGCCGCAGTGGTTAAGAGCTTGGCTGCTAACCAAAAGGTCTGCAGTTTGAATCCACCAGCCACTCCTTGGAAACCCTATGGGGCAGTGCTACTTTGTCCTATAGGGTTGCTATGAGTCAGAATTAACTTGACGGCAATGGGTTTGGTTTTTCTGGTAGTACTCATGGATGATATTCTTTATTTTTTGAGCTCACCTACCATTTAGTGAAAGTGTGATATCAGTGGCTAGTTTCTGTTCGAGGTGTATACAGTATCTCAGGGCAGTATTCTCAGGGAGTCCTCCAGTCTTGATGGGCCCAGGACGTCTGGATTCTTTGAGAATTTGAAGTTTTGTTCCACATTTTTCTCCTCTTCTATCAGGATTCATTGACAGGCCATTGCTTTTCTTTTTTTTATATTGTGCTTTAGGTGAAAGTTTACAGAGCAAACTAGTGTCTCATTACACAATTAACACACATATTTTTTCACGACCATGGTTAACAACCCCACGACCTGTCAACACTGTCCCCTCTCGACCTTGGGTTCCCTATGACCAGCTTTCCTGTCCCCTCCTGCCTTCTCGTCCTTGCCTCTGGACTGGTGTGCCCCTTTAGTCTCGTATTGTTTTATGGGCCTGTCTGATCTTTGGCTGAAGGGTGAACCTCAGGAGTGACTTCATTACTGAGCTAAAAGGGTGTCCAGGGGCCATGCTCTCAGTGTTTCTTCAGTCTCTGTCAGGCCAGTAAGTCTTGTCTTTTTTTTGAGTTAGAATTTTGTTCTACATTTTTCTCCAGCTGTGTCCAGGACTGTCTGTCGTGATCCCTGTCAGAGTAGTCAGTGGTGGCAGCCGGGCACCGTCTAGTTGTACTGGACTCAGTCTGGTGGAGGCCGTGGTAGACGTGGTACATTAGTCCTTTTTTGTATTTTAGGTGAAGGTTTACATAACA